TTACATTTAATTTTCACACTGCAATAAGGCAAGCAACATGTACATGGAAAAGTATCGTTTGGGCTAAGAGTCCACAGAAGACTTGTAACATACAAGAAAATGTAGCAGTTTGGCCTATCTTACTGTCTATTGGAACTTGCAGAGAACATTAAATTAGTACAGGATTTCCAAACTTTAAAAAAACCCAATACAGAGAAGAAAATCCTTTGTAGAATACACTTGTCCTATTTGGCCGAGCAGATTCTCCTTTGGAGTCGAGGCACTTGCTAAATGACATCTTTCAGTTCCTTTCACTGGCTGTGGTTCTAGGATTACAGGACTATGGTTTTGTCTCGGGTCATGCATAGATAAGCTTAGTTTTGGAGATGGCTGCACCATGTGCGTTGATGCTTTCATGAAGGAATTCAGACTAAAGAGGGAAAAGCGTGGAAGAATTGACTCTGAAAGCAGAGCTCAGCCATGAAAAAGACATGTTAAAACACAGGAGCCTTATCAATACTGCCTATGTTATGCAAACACATGGCCTGGAATAAAACTTGCGTACTTTTGATTACACTATCTGCACACTGCAACAGTCTGAGGTAATTTTGTTAGTTTAAGGAAATGACAACTGCTTTCTTCTGTAATTTATTGGATGTACCATCATATCAGAATGGTTAATATTAAATCATTAAATGAACACAAAATATGTGCGAAGTTCCAGGCTTGAAATTTTAAAAGTTGAAATGAAAGCTTGTCTTCTGATGCTTTCTTCAGGGTTTTCAATATTATCAAGTGCATTTACTTCCAAATGGGACAAGTGAAAAAAAAAAAAAAAAGTTATTCATATCACTGAAATGCCAAATTATTAATCCCATAATCCTGAAATATTTAAAATTAACAGATCTTAACAAGAACAAATGAATCATACTTATCAGAAAACATTGCAGCACTTTATAATAACATGCCCTATGATCTATACAGTTCTTTGCCTCAAGATTTTCAGTGTACTAGAGATGACAGCCATATTCTCAATATCCAAAGTGAAAGACTCTGTCATAAAAAGGACTTTTAATCCAGAAACTGAGCTTTTGCCGATGATCTAAGTTTAGAAATTTCCTTCAGTGCAATGGAAAGCTCAGCAAAGGAACTCCAGGGACTGATCTGCGAGTTCCCATTCCTAAGTCACTTTGGCTGTGAAGGACACCCTTTGCTGCTATAGATCACAGGTCGTAGAAAACCATCTCTGCAAGGCTGGGCTTTGGCAGTGAGAAACTTAGAACCTAGAAAGAGATCAATAAGCAGGACCAGAACAATCCCTAAAACAGTAAAGCATTTCTCCTCTTGGACATGGAATTATAAGAGGCTCAGAAATTAACTACAAGTAGAAACATTACAAAAATGCCTCCACACTTGAAATGTTTTATTTCCCAGTTTTGAAGCCAAGTTTTCAAATCAAGGTGTGATAAGCCTTTTTGAAGTGTGCCAATGGCTGTTCATTATTTTGTTTTGCAGACATTACCATTTCACAGATATTATTTTCAGCAGAGACCATGGGGTAGCACATACTGTAGCAGTCACTGCTCATTATTCATCTTCACCTGGGCTAAAGGCATTTTGTCTAATATTACATAACTTTCTACTCTGTGATTTTTCTTTTAGAACACATTGTGTTTTACAACATTCAGTCTGTGTGTTTAAACTGAACCAAAAATTGAATTCCATTACACTCTTCTGGCAAAACCTTGATCTACAACTTCCTTTTGAGTGTTCTTGCATATTTCAAACTCAACTGCTTTACTTGCACATCTGAAATCTTACAATCCATTAAGACCCCCACTACTCCTCCACTACACCAAAACTTCCATTTTCCAATCCTCCTGCTGCTAAGTCTCCTGATGAATACTGACCGAAAAATCACCTTGAGATCTTCAATGAAAAGTACAGCTAAATTGAAAAGGATGGCAGAAAAATACTATTAAATTAAGTACTTAATGAGTTCCAAATGTCAAGGCTCTGCAACGTTGGTTTTAACAAAAACAATCCTTCCAGACACGAGTAGCTCTGCCTGACTACAGGCTGCAACACCGCACTGAGATTATAAATAATGTCTTGTAAAACACAAAAAAAGCGGCCTGCTATGCCTGTGACTACGAAGCACATGGAACCCAACAAAAAGCACGTGGCATTTTCTTTCTCATTCAGCACTAGACAACGCTTATTTTCCTACTGCAGATCCCAAACAGGGGGTGGAACTAGACGATCTTCTCCTTCCGAGCCAAACCATTTAAAGACTCCGTGAAATTTGCCAAGGAACACCGTGCTATTATTCACCATTCACTGTCACTGCTCCGGCCTGGAATGGTGTAGAACGGCGGAAAACAAGCTGTTGGGAGGGACAACGCCTGAGCACGAAAGCGGCCCCAGCTCCCCAGGGCGAGAACGCGGGAGAAGCAGCTCCTTTCTACATGCACCACCTCCCTCAAGTCCCAGGGGAGCTGGAGAATGGGAAACTGACCAGCCCGAGGGTACCAGGCTGCCTCCTGCAGCAGCCTCAGGCCCAGCCGTGCGCCACTCACACCCCAACCCGCTGTGCTGCACCGCCTCCCCCGCGGGTGCCCGGCCTGCCTGCAGCCCGCCGGGGTCCGTCCCGCTTA